TGCTGCGCGACTTGATGGACTCGGCCGTATCGGGCAGACGAAAGAAGACACTGGCGACGATGAGAGTCTGGAAGAGGTTGAGGACGAGCATCATCACCGTCATCTGCGGCGAGGCCTTGAGGAGCGCGAGTGCGCGCCATAGACATAGGAGAACCTGGCGTGGGTACGAAAGGGTGTAGGGAGACTTCCATCGTTGCATCCAAGACTGATCACTCTTCTTGCTCTCCAGGAACTCGGCAAAGTGTGTGCGTGAGTTGCGCGGGCCACTACTGCTCAGAGAAAAGGATGCGTCGTAGGAGTCTAGTTCATCGCCAAGCTTGCGGCGGAGACTACTCGTCCGCCATGCCTCGGCGAACTCGTCCGGAGTACGCGGGACCTTTTGCTCGTAGCCAGGCTTGACGATGCCCTCGCGCTCAGCTGGGCTGGTCATGGATGTCAGGAAGTCCGGTGTCGTCTGTATCTTGGGACAAACGAAGCCCAGCCGCTGGAAGTAGCGTTTGGCTTCCGTCGTCTTCCCAAAGTAGATCTGTCGCCCTTCGTAGAGAACCAGTACTTTGTCGAACAACTCGTAGGCCTCTTCGGGTGCTTGATAGATGGCGACCATGCTCACCATGCCCATGATATCGCTCTGAACGCGCAAGTTTTTGCAGAGATCCACAGTCGCAGCGCTGTCGAGCCCACGCGTGCTGTTGTCCCAGCACTGGATCGGCGCGAAACTCAGCGCCGCCTCAGCAATGCTCACACGCTTGCGCTCGCCGCCAGATACGCCGCGTACTGTGTCGCCATCTGTCCCACCAACTGGTGTCTGCATCGTGTGCTGGATTCCCAGCATGGCCATAGTTACGTCACGCACCCATGTCGCATACTCGTCCGCTGATAGCCCAGCGGGCCGAGATCTGGGCGCTCTCGCTCTCGCGGCGAAGAAGAGCGTGTCCGCTACCGAGAGCGCCGGGAAGTGAACGTCCTCTTCGGCGGTGTAGATGGCGTCGCCTTTGAAGTAGCGCTTCATCTCATCGGCACTCACACCGCGGTAGTTGAGGTGAGAATCCTCTGCCACCTGCGTGCCTTGCGTATCTCCCGCCATGGTACGCAAAAACGTCGAGCAGCCACTACCTGGCGGGCCCAGCACGCAAAGCATCTCGCCATCGTTGACGACTCCCTCGAGGTCATGCAGGATGCGCACCTGTTGACGCTTTATACGCAATAAGCCACGCATAGCTCCTGCGGCTTTGAGCCACCACGCGTTGCCAACCGTTGTTTGAAAGGCTGTGTCGGACCCGTAGCCTGAGACTTCGAGCTTGCGATAGGCGACACCGGCCTTACGCACTTCGCAGCTGTCGGAGCGGAGGCGATAGAATGCTTTGGCCCATTCCCGGGCGTCAAAGTTGTTGCCAAAGGGATCGAGGGGTCCGTCTTGTTTAGGAGCCTTTGAGACGTCTAGCACAGAGTCGCTTTGGGTCGAAGATAACGAGACTTCGCCATTTTGTTGCTGTTTTTCGAGGAAAGACTTTGCTAGGTCTACGAGATCTGTAATGGCCTTGTATTCGTCCGCAGATATGTGTACAGATCTCGGCCGATTGTCACTGGGAAGTGGAGCGCCTGGGAAACTTAGAAGAGAGGCGCGATGCCGAGATGGAGGCGAAGATCGCCAAATTGGCCGCTCGTTGTCTGCCTTTTCGTCGGTGGAGGGTGCGGTAGACATGCCTGTAGTTGACCGAGATGTAGACGTGTCAAGCTGCAAAAGCCGGTCTGGCAAGGCGGTGTTATCGAAGTTCACTTGATTTAACCTCAACTCTCTGAATGTTTCAACGATAATCAAAAGTGAAGCTTCAAGTGAGTTGCGATGTCAACCTTGGATCAGTTGAATTGCCTTGAAGGAATTATATTACTGAACATGCAGTGACCATGATCATACGGTTCTGAAGCCACATGTGCCACGCGCTAAGTGCCTGCTAATATCTATCATTAAGTATCTCGAGTGCTATTATGGACCATGCCGGATTGACTGCTCAGACGGGACTGTTTAGATGGGATGGATGACTGAGGTGTGGCAGCAAACTACAACGGCTGCAGACAGCACGAAGGGACGGGATTTCGCATCTAAGCCCGGTCCCTGCTGTCTAGCGTCGGGAGTGACTCCGACTGGAACGAAAGTTTAAAGGACCTAAAACGGAAAGAAAAGTACCTGGCCATAGTTTGGGTATCTAAGTATAAAGTTGGGAATGTGTAAGCAGCTTGGAGGAAATGGATGCGAGCTTGGCGAGTACGGAGTATTCAAATAGAATTTCCCGCCCGTCCGTTGGAACGGATGGCCCGGCACATGAAAGCAAGCAACCTAGTGTGAGCTGCATGGAGCTTTGGCACTCGCGGTCAACGCGCAACAAACCTTGTTTGACCTTGATCTTGAGTTTAAACGCCGATCAAGAAGGGGGTTTACGGATACGGGAGCGAAAGGCTGTCTTGGCGTCATGGGAATCCGTCGACTCGGAAACTGATTGAACTCTTTGAGCACTGACGCAGTTAACGGCAATCGGCCTACTTTACACTCCCGAGAAACGCAAAACCGGCCGCCAAGGTTCATGATGACAGCGTAAACTATGTTATGCGTCAGACTCATAACAGCAATACTGACCGATATCTCCCTTGAACTGTTGTCTGCCGGGTGAAAGTCTCCAGTGAAATCGATAAGACTAACTATCACAGAAGAACTAGGCTGTTTGGTGTCAACCGTGTCGTGCAATCAAGAACTTGAACTAACCTGTGGCCCATGCAACCCTGACCAATGCCACTTGGGAGATTTCTCGCAAGAATCCTGGCAAGATCACGGGATATAACTCTAGTAAGAATGATCTATGCAACAGTATTTACCCTTCGGTACAGTAAAGTTCGCACTTTGATCTTGGTGGAAGGACAAGGGGACAAGAAAGCATAGACCTGTCAGCTGCAGCCAAGGTAGTCAAAGAGAGATCAGACGCTCAACCTCTTAAAGAGGAATCGGGTTATCCCACACCACATCATTGTGATGCTAAAAAAATGAGAATCATATCCTCTTCATGTTCATCTATAGCCATACGTGTAAGTAGGTAATTGGTACCAAACGACTGTCATAGCAAAAGTAACCTTATGTACATTTCATTTTGGCACTAAGACAACAATCAGGAAATGGAACAGACACGCGTCCTCATCGCAGGTGCAGGACCGGTAGGCTTGTTCACAGCCTATCTCCTCGCCCGTCAAAAGATTAAGTGCATCATCTTAGAGAGACGTCACAGCATATCATTGCACCCGAAAGCCCACACCATCAACCCGTCGACACTCGAAATCTTTCGCCAGGCTGGCTTGGATGTAGCCTACATTCGACGACAGGCAGCCAACCCAAAAGATGCCGGACATGTTCGGCTTGTCTACGGCCTGGCCGATACTGAGATTGGCTGCTTCCCCTACGAACGCCAGGACGACGAGATGCGCAACTTGACGGCTGAGCCTTTGGTCAACTGGCCGCAGCCGCAGCTAGAGCGGCTGCTTGAGAAGGCTGTACTCGAGACGGGCCTCGCTGAAATCAGAAGAGGGTGGCAAGTCGACTCCGTCGACATCACCGATACAGAGGAAGCTGGCTGTATCGTCTCATGCAGCACTTCTACTGGACGAGGAAACGACATTAGCACCGAGAGACACAGCATCCAGGCTGATTTCATCATCGGAGCCGACGGCGTCAACTCGACCGTGCGAGCAAAGACAGCCGGCATCGACTTCCGATCCATGGGACCAGGCCACGTCTATCAGTCCATCGTCTGCAAAGGCAGTCTTCGCGCCGCGCTTCCGCCGGGTCGGGAGGCCATGCTCTACTTTTGCTTCCACCCAGAGCACCCCAGCGAGTTCATCGCACACAACCTCGACGACTCCTTTGTCCACGTCACCCCTATCATGGGTCCGTCGTCGGAGGCACCGCCAATCGAGGCCTGTCTCCCGGGTCTGCAGTACTCGGAGGTCCTCCGTACCACCTGGGAGACGGCACCGCGCGTGGCATCATCGTACAGCGACGCCAAGCACCACGTCTTTCTTGTGGGTGATGCCGCGCACAGCTTGCCGCCTCAGGGCGGCCTGGGCCTCAACACGGGCATCGCGGACGCACATAACCTGGTGTGGAAGCTGTCTTCCGTCATGTACGGAAAAGGCAGCCAAGACCTTCTCGCCAGTTTCACACGCGAGCGTAGGCCCGTCGCACTAGCGAATCTCGAGTACTCAAAGGCTAGCGAGGCAGCGTTCTACTCTGTCAGCACCTCTCTCGTTGGCCTCGCTATTCAGTTTCAAGAAGCCAAGGCACAGGAAGCTCCGGGATTGGACCTCGCCATGGACGCGTTCCTCCAACGCCGCGCCGTTTCCGCTGCAGCGGGGGAAGCTGTCAAGGAGGCGAGTAGACACTTTGACTCGCTTGCACTCCAGCTCGGATTCATCTACGATGACCCGTCCGCTACGAAAGTCTTGCTTGATGACCCGACGGTCTATGTGCCGCAAGCGTGTCCCGGGGCAAGGCTGCCGCACGGAAACACGAGTGAGGGACTGTCTCTGTTGGACCTCGTGCCCTACGATCGATTTACCGTGCTGCACTGCGCAAACCCTGCATTCGCGTCTTGCGACTGGGCTGTTGACGTGTCAGGCCTTGGTTTACCGGAGAGTTGGTATGGTGTGGTCCGGGAAATCAAGGGCGGTAAAGGGATCGTTGTGAGACCGGATCACCGAGTGCTAGTGCATGTAGATAGTCCGGGGCAAGCAGACGCTGCGATTAAAGAGTATTTGAATCATGGAAAAGTGTAGGAAATCCAATGGTATGCTCTGTGTCTGGAAAACTTCAATATCAGAATCTTCAGTTTTGTAATGCGATATTGATGGACATGATCGTCATGGAACTCGTCTACCGTATGACACAGCAGTGCATCCTTGACCATTCTAGAATTCACACCAAGCTTATTACAACTTGAAAGCCCCCCTTCTTTCGCGAGCTACGGCTTTTCAACCACAGCAGCTTGCGATAAACGTCCAAGACCAAGACAAACCGCAATCACTGCTAACATTCCCCACTGCGGGAGCATAGGTCGCCCATCTACATAGGCCCTGAAGGTCCCGTAAGTGACTACAGCCCCATTGAAGAGCAGCGCAGGTTCCCTCGTCTCGGGAACTATGACGGCGGCGCCAACTGCGATGCGTAACGCTGCGCCAAAGTATCCGGCCTGTCCGGGGGTAAGACGCCGGCGAAAGATTTGCGACATCCACTCGCTCTTACCGGCGTAGTAGTCTGCCGCGCGGCGGTTGGGAAACGGGATGCCGACGAATGGGAGGGCGGAGAGGATGCAGAGCCCGCCGAAGGTATAGGATGCGAGGTTTGAGAGCGTAGAGGTGTCAGTCATCCTGTCTGGTCTCGATATATCGTGATTAAAGGAGCGGATTGATGAGGGCAGTTGCTTGGGGGGTAGAGCCTGATTATGTGGAGATTCGATGATGAAGCTGGTAATGAAGATGGTAGTTTGTTGCAGTGACATTCCAAGTTGGCTGATTTACCCCTTACGTCAATACATCAGAGTCAGCACTAGTCCTCATTGGATCATCAAACATTCACATGTCTTCCAAGGCTAGCAGAAAGATTAGAGTCCCTTGTCGCAACCTAGAGACATCGCGTGGATGGTAGACACGTGCAATACGGGCGCCATCATCTCGTCATTCATGCTATGATAGGAATGTTACTAGATCTACTTGATCTGCTCTCCCTTGACCAGTGGTCCGGCACTTCTAAACCATCAGAGCGCGCCGAGGATCCCCTCCGCAACTCTGGCGAAGGAATCGCCTGCATGTAATAATCGGGCTGCTGCACGTAGCTCGAGTTGCCCCCGCGAGAGTCGTGGCCTCGCTGGTAGTCTTTCAATAGAGCGTAAAAGAATGCTGTATTTGCGACGATACAGGCGCAAAGTATCTCTATGGATGCCCACTGGACAGAACTCGTTAGTGACCGATCGTTACGGCATCACATACACTGGCCGAAAACCTACCATGGAACGAGATCTTTGTGATACTGCCTGGTTCAGTATCATGGGTAGTCGCATGATGGTGATGACGACAACAACGCCAGCGATGCTGAATAAGAGCACGAGCTGCACCTTACTACAGGGGGGTGAGTCCTCAGGAAATCAAGCAATGAGGGATTCAATGGGTGGGTACGAACACTTTGCTGTCGAGTTTAACATGACGAAAGATAGGAAACGGGAAGATGATAAGCGCAATATCGGTAACGATGTTGAAGACGGCCATTGTGATGAGGTTTCCGAGGGCGCGATGGCAGGTATTTGCGCCAGTAGGATCAGGGGACCACATGCTATTGATGACAATGTCAGACCATTTGACGTCTCTTTCGTTTGCCGGATTAACAAAGGTAGGCAACAACTTACAAGTAAAGTGGCCGGCATTCCGCAAGAGTGGGTATCAAGATAACAAAAAACGTAATAACAATAAACCACCAAAGAGCATTCGTGACAGCTTTGCCCCATCCAAAAATGTCCACGAAGCGCGAGTAAAAGTTGAGCAGGCAGAGCTTCAACGACCACAAGCTATACAAGAACACGGCATAGGTCAGCAGTGAACGAATATTAGACACACCGCCTTGAATTGCAGTCCGCCACCCTCACAACAGTGAGTGTGAGGCGGAATAGACTCAGGCAAGTAGGTGTAAGCGACATACAATAATGCATAGAATATGCGAGCCGGTATAAGCAGCTTGTGTGAGATGACGTAATACTCTGCCAATTTCTCAACACTGAGATTCCGCGCCGCGGCCGCCTCTTCGGTGGCGGCATCATATGTGTGCGTCGGGTTGAGGTAGAAGGAGAGCGAGATGCAAGTCGTGCGGCCGATGAGCGGGAGGAGCGCAAAGGCCATGTAGGCGTCGTCGACGTGCCACATCCGGTGGCAGGTATCGTGGACTTTACATCGTAGGAGGATGCGGTAGCCGCAGCGGACGATGATGAGGAGGGCGCAGATGCTGGCCGTGACGATGTCAAAGGTCACATCTGCCGACATTTCTGTGTTGGTGATGTTTTGTCGTCGGGTTCGGGGTTCCAGTGTAAAGTTGATGGCTGGCTGCTGGGGCGCGGCGGCAACGAGGGCCGTTATGCTGGTGCTGACATTGTTGTGTTCTTGTACGTCTTGTCGCAACGCCTCTTTTTCTTCCTCGAGTGAGTTTCCTGTTGTTCTGGCCTTTCTTCTCTTTTGCAGGTTGCTATATCCGTATCTCGATGTGATCTTGATGGACTCTCTCTTTGATGATATCCGAACTGCGCAGTTGCCCCTTGACTGAAAGCGGCCGATGGTACCAAGGTCTCGGGATCCCCAGTGTGCTGAATAAGGGATGGATTCTGATAGTGGTTGCTCTTTTTTAGGAAACGTTTTGACGTCCAAAGTGTGGGGAAAAGAGAAACGCAGATGGGACGAACTTGACAAGGCCTGAAAGAGCACAGCCAGATGTTTAAAGAGGAGGACGGGGGCGGAGCAAGGAACGACCACAGAAAGGCCGTCGCTGAAAGAAGAGCCGCCGAGGAATGGATTGGAAAAGGGAGGACGGAGTGGGATTCGCGAAAGTAGGTAGGACGTGGATTCTGAGTCAGCTACTACCACCCACCCCAGCCCAATGCCAAGCCGTCTTTATTCTAGCTTCTGTTGGATTACCGCGCGGGGTTCGAATTCATTCGATCTGGGAAAGGCGCGGGAGGGACGCAAGGGAGGCACAGGAGGAGGCCAGAGACGAGGTGCGCTAGATATGTCTGCACTAGAGAGGCCCAGAAGAGGCCGAAGGAGGAGAAGGAAGCGCAAAAGGGACAAAATGGAGGAAAGAAAGCCGTAGGAGAAGGGGGTGGGAGAGTTGGGTATTTTGAGGAAAGACACAATGGTTGCCGAGTTTGCATGCAGCTAAACTTTAGCAAAAAGATCATTGATGATGATCCGAGACTGCGGTCCACGAGGTGTGATTCGCGCGATGGCCCGGGGGAACGGTAAAGGGTCGCCAGCATTGCTTTTGCAAGGGTAAACATGGAACGAACGGACGACAAGACAGACCACTCGTCGTGACAGTCAAGACCAAGGGGCCCTGTCACGCTTGTCTGTCTGTCTGTCGGTAACTGCTCATGGCTAGTACGAAGAACTTGGTGTGCGCCATTGTGACGATGAGCTGCTCAGCTCCTGGGATACTGGCACACTGGCACACTTTCTGCACCGCTTCTGCTGCCCTTTTGCTCGGGTTGTCGGGGCCCTAAGCTACTAAACAGGTCGATGGTTCCAATTTCCCCGCATGGAGATGCATGGGGATACCCATGTAGCCAAGCGCCGTTGGTGATTCGCTTTCGTAACGGGGAACCGGATGTCGAAATGAAGACTTTTCTCGCCCTCTCTCGAGTCTCGGGTGGCGGACAGGACGGCACGAAGAAAGCAAACGTCTCGCCCTCTGCGTGAGACTTTCTAGGGTCTTGTGAGAGACTCTTCGATTTGCCGATTCAGGGGACTTTGATTTGTGAACCTTCACGCGAACCGTGATCAAAATACGTCTGCCCAACGGCGCACAACGGCGTCCCTGCCTCTCTCTTTCTGATCGGTGAGGGCAAGGATACTAACCTCGTAATTAACCGCCATTCCTCTCCTCGGCGTCTCTTTGAGTTCAGTCTAAAGCCCGACTTCGGGAGGTTGGCATAGGCGCTTGGCCGCTTGTCGAACCCGTCTCGAACCCAAAAATCGGGCTCAGGTCTTCATCGAGTCCTAGCGTTTTGCTCTCGATGCAGTCCGCACCATCGGATGGCAGAATCGGTCCAGAACTTGGCAGATAATGTCCACCGTCTAGGTATATCCACAACAGTCTAACAAAGCTGCCAAGCTGGCCGACGAAATCCCAGTCAGCTTGCTGCCCAGCCCATCGATGGCAGGGTTATTGACAGATTGGATTTCTGTCGGGGCACTTGGGTCGAAGCTCCGTCCGTCTTGAGAGCTCCGCACGCCGCCAGTCCCCGGCGATGGGGCGATGGAGAGCTGGGTGCGCACGAGCATTCATACACTGATCAGTCACCAAAGTTCTCTAAAAGAGCATTCAACCTAGACCGCGTTGGGAACACAAATGGGCCAAAAAGTCGATGTAATCAGGGCTGTGGTAGCATCGCTTCCAGCTCCTGTGGGTTGCCGCAAACTCGCAGCGCGTCTGTCTGTCAGACAGAACACTATTCGAGTGATGTCTCATGCCCTCGTGACTAGACGGACGGACGGGCGAGACGGGATGATCTGCGTTTCGCAAAATTACGTGCAGTGAGCCCAGTGAGCGCAATGTCAGCCTGACAGCAGGCTGCCCAATGCTGTCCATGCTGGTCGTGATCTTCCCTGCAGGCTCTGTGCTCGTTTTTGGGACTGTTGAATAGAGCCTAAATTGGTTGATCATGTCTGAATTCATCCTTTTGGCCCCTTTGAAAAAGTCCCTGGCCCCCGCGTAGGCTCGTTCAATGATCGACACTCGTTGCCTGCCGTGCAGCGGCGCAGGTGCTTACCCTTACTCGAGGTGTCTATCCTTTCGGTCCTGCTCATCCACACGGCTCTTCTCGGCATCGCGTCTTCATTGCAACCGTCGATAAAATCGCACCAGGCTTTTCGTGCAATACGGATACACATATCTCCATTGGAGGTGGCCTAATGTCAGATCGAAGCGTAGTAGGTATTGTTCTCAGCCACAATTTTCGGGAATCACAGCGCCCGAAGGTCGTTCTTTGTGCCCCCAATCTCGTGCCTGCGCCTCCGAGCCCCGGCTACACCCGTGGACAGTCAAGTGTCGCGCCCACCGGGAATTGTCTGCCGTTTGTGTCTGGTTCAGTTTGGTTGAACCCGCAAAGGCCCCGCAAAAGGAAGTCGTGAATCCTATTAGTGAAGGAATTGAAGCCTGAAGAGTTGACGAGAACACAATACTTTCCATAGGATCTAGCTCCGAAGAAGGACCCAAAGGTTTCACTTTAAGGATAGGCCAAACTTTGGCGATGGGGAGAAACCTCGGTGAGAAAGCGGGACCCCTTAGTCGCATGTATCACAAACCTTACTTGCGAACGGGAGTTTACTACCGATAGCGACTAGCAAAAAGGTCCCTTGGAAGAAAAATGAAGCTGTAAGCGCAAGGTTTTACACTACTCACAACATACCCCTACTTGCCTTTTGAAACCTCAAACTTTGCTGTACGGGATGCCAGAGGATAGCTTCTGTATTTGATCTTGCTTATGTTCCAAGAACCCCTTTGGGTACAGCATCGCCAAGTCGCCGCCTCGGGAATTGGGAACTTCCCGTTGTGTACGTTCAATTCCGCGTCTGTGTGCCGTCGCGCTGGTCCCTAAGTATTGTTCACTAAGGTAGCGCCCGCGCGACTGCCACTGACCAGCAATCTGGGCAAGCATTGTATTCGGCGATGAGTCAAATACGTCCTCTATCCGTATGGGAGTGCGTTCCAAATGCTCGGTCCGGCGATCTTCTGAGCATATCCGTGAAAGTAATAAAAATCCTCAACATTTCTATCGTAAGGCAAGACAGATTCTCGGGCCGATGACGCGATAAATGTTACTTGCCAGTCGCGACAGCTCCAGCAGCTTGTTGTTGTTCACACTACAAACTTGCTTTTTCCACATGCATGTTCGATACGACCCAGGAAGAAGGTGGACCATGAGCGTTGCCGGGCAACGGATATTCAAACTTGTCTGCTTCTATGTTCTCGAAAACATCCCATTGAGGCTCTTCATGCACCGCTTTGCGAAAGTGGTTTGTAAGTCGATTTGGTCAATATTGCGGTAACGTGGTCCTGTGTTGGTGGAGCTCATCTGCATTTCCACGTGAGTTCCCGTATGCTCCACGCGTTGTAGTTCTTGATCAGCGATGAAACATCGAAAACAGTAGGGCTAGAAGTCCAGTTCGATCCCCAAGCGAAGTAGCCGTAAGGGTCACTCATGGGCAATATGTCAGCAATGCTATGGGGAGTCGCGTGAGGGCTCAAAATAACTCTCCTTCACGTACTTTACCTTTTACGTGTAGTAAGTGGCATGAATAAATTGATTCATCATCGCCCTCATGATCGTATGACGCAGTCGTTATCTCTATGACATGGGTTCCGACAGGGACTCTAGATTCCAGGAAATGGCTCTTTTCATCACGTTAGGTGGCCGATGCGTGGGGTGGGATATATACTCGGATGCCAACAAGGAACTATTTGACCTTTAAGTTTCATCTCCCACTGGCTCGGAAAGTCATTTAAATATTCCTGTCGTTGGGCTGATCTCTGTTGGAGTACCAGACTCAGATGGCGATCCACCCTTGGTATATATCGTCAGGATCCTCGTTGTAGTTTCTGCTTGCTATACCCAAGGCAGGCAACTCGTGTAATGGGCGAAGCTGACCACGTTGAGAAAGATATCTTAGCCTAGCATTCGCCATACCATGCGAAATAACGAACTTCATCATACACCACGATTCCATCAACACATATCTTCAGCTCGTTGTCGACAGATATCTCGAACATGGGTTGTTATCTCGGGCTTGCGTCAATCTCTTTATCTCAGCAAAGGTTAACAACTGCCGAACAGCACTGAGAGGCAAATCAACAGCAGGGGGGGCATCACTTGCAAAACCACCTACCGGATTGATCCGTCTTACACCAGCGACTTTTATGCTGGAATGACGGAAGCGGACCGCTCCTCCGGGTGATAAGCCCCGGAATAACCCGGAGAAGCCCGGAAGGGACCGGGTGGGGAACGGCCGAGGATGGAGCAAGGGAATTATGGGGACGGAACGGGGAGGGGGCAAAGAGACGGCCTATCTTGAGCTTGAGCTCACTAATCTTCCCCGATACTTGATTTCCCCTCAAGTACGTGAATAACAGGAGAAGTCACATGACTTCACCTACCTTTAAGCATCGAAGATGACAGTTTACACTCGGTACCTGGGCGGCCCGCGAACCTCCTCTCTCTTATCGAAGACAGGCTCATCCCGACCCGCAAGGATGCCGCGGATGGCGGCGGCCA